GAAAAAGAAAGGTGGTCGAGAAATCGTACCCAAAGCTGTCTCGTATGCACGGTGTGCCTTATGTGCAGGCTGAGGAGTGCGTGTGAGGTATTGTGGGTGTGTGATTTCTGACCCTTTGCTACGAGCATGGCTCGTTTAATTTATAGACAAAGATTTGGGAAAGGTAACTGTTTCTGACGTGCCCCGGAAGTGCATAACCGTTCTAAACTTCCACATCGTGGCTTATTCCCGGGCACGTCTTTGGATAACTCTTGGAACTGCTCATTAACTTCCCCAAACCGTTCTGCAGCCTTTGACACTTATCCCATGATTTACTTCACCGCTCTTAAATCGTGTCTCCTTTAAGCTCTTCATTCTGAGAGGTTACGAAGTGTATTCGTGTATGTCCGGATCCTTGGGATTTCGAGTAACCAACGAAAAATATACTTGAGTGTTTCCTGATTTTCCTTGTACTTTGAGAGGTTGCGAGGCTGTGAGCCTTTCTCCTGAGCAGCAACCTCCCGGTTCGAGGATTTCGAGAGTTTCACGAAAAATGTCTTCGCGTATCTCTTGATTCTGTTCAGGCTTCGTATGTCTTCTTCAGAAACTTCTTTGCCATTTTTTGATCACCTAAGATTTCGAGCACCCCTGTATTTCGAGTATCTCTGAATTCATTTTCTGGTACTAACACCTTGATGGACAGAAGTCGAAGCATGAGCAATTTCCAGGTAGTCTTCTCTTCATTTTCCTTGGTCTTCAGAGAGTGTAGAAAGGAAATAAACAAAGAGAAAATGAGTACATGAAACTGACTCTAGCAATTCCTTTTTACTCAATTAATTAAATAATAAAATAATAATAATAACCTAATTACCAAAACAACCTTCCTTCCCCTTTTATAAAAAAAGCTAAAATAAAATCAAAATACACTCTTCCCTTTTAATAAAAATATCACAAGCTTAAACCTTTAATAAAACACATCTTCATAAAATACACCTTATATCAATAATCAAAATATTAATTCATACCATATTTTATATTAAAATAGAAATCATATAATTAATTAAATTATATCAAAATCCTTTAATAAACATATTTAAAATATTAAAATAATTATTAGCATATCATTAATATGAATTAGGAAAACTGGGGTGTTACAATAAGGGGCATTGTCGTAACCGAAATCACGACGGGATGACACAAACATTATTTTTCAATGAAACCGCCACCAATATCTTATTTTAAGGGAAAAGCATTGGAATACTTTTACATTGTTTCTTATTAAAACTGACGTAGAATGGCTAATAATTTGTAAATAATTACAAAATTGCCAGCGCACCTCTTTTTTACATCAGTTATTGAACAACCGATGTAGAAGACCCGATGTAGAATAATATTTTTGTAGTAGTGGAAGTTTTAAGTCTTTTTTACTTATAGTTAAATTTTGGTTTCTTATGGATAAGGGTCATTTTATCTGTAACAGTTTTTT